GTCATCTCTCCATGCTCCAGTCTTACCTACACAGTCATTAACTCTCCTGTCATCTCTCCATGCTCCAGTCTTACGTACACAGTCATTAACTCTCCTGTCATCTCTCCATGCTCCAGTCTTACATACACAGTGATTACAAGGTTGAAACCCCCCTGCTCCTCTCACACTGCAGGAAATTTAATATGGGAGATGATTAAAGGTTTACTTGCTCAGGCCATCACTGCACTTTACTGGAGCCTGACTATTGTCTGACAGTTTGATTGCAAGAGACGCTGTGTTTATTGTTCTTTTAGCTTATTTAGTCATAAAGTGTGAATACTGAATAATGGCCTACATTAAAATCAAAGTTACTGAGGGAATGAGAGAAGGGGGTGAGAGGGACCTGTAGACAGAAAAAAATAAATAAAGAAAGAAAGAAAGAAAGAAAGAAAGAAAGAAAGAAAGAAAGAAAGAAAGAAAGAAAGAAAGAAAGAAAGAAAGAAAGAAAGAAAGAAAGAAAGAAAGAAAGAAAGAAAGAAAGAAAGAAAGAAAGGGTATAATCTGGATTCTGGAATTGATGTACTAAACTCCAACAAAGATCCTTTATTCACATGAATGCCATACTGCATAGTGTACATAATAGGCTCTTTCTCAGAAACAGCATGATGCATATTTTCATTGTTTTGATAACAATGTAGCACTCTACAATAGCAGACAGCAATTTGGAGAGAGAGAGAAAGAGATGAACATGATGAAAATTATGAAAATTATGATGAGAAAACAGAGGTTGACATTTACAGTCGTGGTCAAAAGTATTGGTCTTCACAAAGTTCGCTGCTTCAGTGTTATGAGATATTTTTGTCAGATGTTACTATGGTATACTGAAGTATAATTACAAGCATTCCATAAGTGTCAAAGGCTTTTATTGACAATTACATTACGTTTATGCAAAGAGTCAATATTTGCAGTGTTGACCCTTCTTTTTCAAGACCTCTGCAATCCGCCCTGGCATGTTGTCAATTAACTTCTGGGCCACATCCTGACTGATGGCAGCCCATTCTTGCATAATCAATGCTTGGAGTTTGTCAGAATTTGTGGGTTTTTGTTTGTCCACCCGCCTCTTGAGGATCGACCACAAGTTCTCAATGGGATTAAGGTCTGGGGAGTTTCCTGGCCATGGACCCAAAATGTCGATGTTTTGTTCCCCGAGCCACTTAGTTATCACTTTTGCCTTATGGCAAGGTGCTCCATCATGCTGGAAAAGGCATTGGTCGTCACCAAACTGTTCTTGGATGGTTGGGAGAAGTTGCTCTCTGAGGATGTGTTGGTACCATTCTTTATTCATGGCTGTATTCTTAGGCAAAATTGTGAGTGAGCCCACTCCCTTGGCTGAGAAGCAACCCCACACATGAATGGTCTCAGGATGCTTTACTGTTGGCATGACACAGGACTGATGGTAGCGCTCACCTTGTCTTCTCCGGACAAGGTGTTTTCCGGATGCCCCAAACAATCGGAAAGGGGATTCATCAGAGAAAATGACTTTACCCCAGTCCTCAGAAGTCCAATCCCTGTACCTTTTGCAGAATATCAGTCTGTCCCTGATGTTTTTCCTGGAGAGAAGTGGCTTCTTTGCTGCCCTTCTTGACACCAGGCCGTCCTCCAAAAGTCTTCGCCTCACTGTGCGTGCAGATGCACTCACACCTGCCTGCTGCCATTCCTGAGCAAGCGCTGCACTGGTGGTGCCCCAATCCCGCAGCTGAATCAACTTTAGGAGACGGTCCTGGCGCTTACTGGACTTTCTTGGGCGCCCTGACGCCTTCTTCACAACAATTGAACCTCTCTCCTTGAAGTTCTTGATGATCCGATAAATGGTTGATTTAGGTGCAATCTTACTAGCAGCAATATCCTTGCCTGTGAAGCCATTTTTGTGCAAAGCAATGATGAAGGCAAGTGTTTCCTTGCAGGTAACCATGGTTAACAGAGGAAGAACAATGATTTCAAGCACCACCCTCCTTTTAAAGCTTCCAGTCGTCTGTTATTCTAACTCAATCAGCATGACAGAGTGATCTCCAGCCTTGTCCTCGTCAACACTCTCACCTGTGTTAACGAGAGAATCACTGACATGATGGCAGCTGGTCCTTTTGTGGCAGGGCTGAAATGCAGTGGAAATGTTTTTGGGGGATTAAGTTCATTTTCATGGCAAAGAGGGACTTTGCAATTCATTGCAATTCATCTGATCACTCTTCATGACATTCTGGAGTATATGCAAATTGCCATCATCAAAACTGAGGCAGCAGACTTTGTGAAAATTAGTATTTGTGTCATTCTCAAAACTTTTTACCATTACTGTACAATGTGTGGGCATATAACACGACCTATCATTCCCATCAGAGTGGAAAACCAAGGTTTTTGTTTTTAAATCAGATGAGTAATTTGATCATTTTGCATTCCTAAATCGTATGATAGGGGCAGCATAGAGCAGAGACCAGAGCTAGGGTCTCTTTGACATAAAAGCCCACAACTCAAAGATGGACAGTAGCTTGTATAAAGGGGGAATTGTTATTACAGCTAATACTACAGGTCACCCTAAAGGGGATCACAATGATCAAATGCAACATGACACGTGATTGGATAAATCCTAATGGTTTCACAACCGCAAAAGCTCATTATCATATGGCTCAGCATCCAGGATATGCAGTCAAAACTGATATCTGATCTTGTTTAGCATGGTGTCATTCTGGATGTGTCCCACATGGCACCCTATTCCCTATATAGTTCACTACTTTTGAGCAGAGGGCCCTGTTCAAAGGTAGTGCACAATATAGGGAATAGGGTGCCATTTGGAACGAATCCAGAGTATTTACTTCCCATAACTAATAGACTCCTCATATTGAGTAGGTTCCTTGAAGCTGTGTTGACAGGATAATAATTTCCTGTGATTTGTGAACACATGTTGTAATGTAAACAGGGATGTGTTTGAATATTAGGTGTCATTATCAGGGATGGTTTGTTTGTACAGTGGACATTTTTGTGAAAGGCTTAACAATGATTTCCTACACTATTTATGTTTAGGCGCACACACATCACACACTGTATTTAGTTTAGAAATCAGATATCACTGGATTGGAGTGGACTGTCATACATGGACAATACACTCAAACACTGCAAAAATAAGGGAATAATCATTTCGATTGAGTTTAAAGATTGAGCTTGAAGTTCATAGTTATTGTGTAGGCTACAAGGTAGGCTACAAGGTAATAGCTAGACTAAAATGATTTTATCTTGGTTCATACCATTATTTCCATCTAACCACTAAGACTTCCATTAGGGTTCTGGAATAGAATGACATTAGGAGTCAGGGGACATGGGAAGACATATTGTAACACAGTAGTATGTAATCTACCCAGCCTGTTGGCCCACTGGCTTCCCTTGCTCCAGGAAAAATAACATATTGATGTGATAAAACAGTTATTACGGGTGCCATCTGACATGTCGATATCATCAGGAGAGCTGAGTGCTGTAATGTGGATGTACTATCACCATGGGGTTACATAAACTCAACCAGGACTAGTCTTCATCATAGTCACCATCATCATCACCTTCATCATTATCGGCAATTTCATCAATATTATTATCTGCATAATCATTGGCATTGTTTGCCTCACACAACAGCATTCAATAGGATTTACTTTTTAAACACAGTTATGAACTATTGTATTGAGGTCCAATAGTACCCTAGACAGAGGCAGCATCAGCATTCAGCTGTAGACCATCATTATGGTAACTGACTGCTTTCAACTTTATCTCCCTGTAGCTCTTCTTTCCTGACAAACAGTTTGACAGTTAACAAGGCTGTTAACAGTATCAAGACAGTTTTAATTAAAAGAGAGGTGATGGCCTACATTCAGCCCAATACAAAACGATCTGTCCTCGACTGACTAGGACTGTTCTACAGATATAGTTCCTGGAAAAAAGTCGAATTCAGCAAGTAAACTTTTTCTAACGACAAAATTCTACATATTTCAATGGACACTTTTGTGACAAATCCCTATGTGAAACATATATTGACTAAAGAGATTGCTAATGCACAATCAAATCTTAACTTCATGATTCATCTTGACGTCTATGTTTTATGTAGGTACAGTATCTTGCACAGGCGCTAACTCTTGGCTCTATGTGATCTAGTCAGAGCAAGATGAGTGTGTCTCTGAATATCGTAGCTGTAATGTCTGGCACCCTACCCTATGACAGAACATAATGTGATAGCATCAGGATCATCATCTCATATTTTACGACTGAGAAGTCATTTTATTGATCTCTGTTATCTCGTGAACATTTTCATTATGTACATTTACACACAGCTCAACGTTTGTAAAGTGTGGACTCCATTATTAAATGCAAACACAAAGCTTATTATAATACGTGACACACATACCACACCTGTTGTCAAAGTACAATTTCACAAATATCCTATTATCTAAGGTAAAATAAATCTAAGGAATTGCGTCAGTTTATGCGTGAAATTCCCCTCTGACGACTGGAGACATTACCATGACGTTTTTGGAGAACTATTTATACCTATCAAGACATTAAAATTGCATTATGAACTTAACTCATACAGGCATACATGTTGAGCATCCTCCTGAGTATTTGGAATCGTGACCCACAAGCTTGTCCAGCCGTGCGACTTTAGAGAAAGCTGATTGGCTCAATCGCAACAGTTCTACAAGTGCTTTTTTTTCTAACCGCACCGGGGTAATATATTTGGTACAAAGCCTCACAATCAACAGTTCCTACAGCAACACAACAGGACTTGGACTAAACAGAAAAACAGAGGCAAGTATTGGCTTTTGTTGGTTTGTTTCTTCATGGCAACTTTGTTACGTTGGAAAGAAGACTTGGCCACAGACATGGCTTTTTTCGTATTGTCCATGTTTTATCACTTCCTGAGAAATTAGCAGTAAGTAAAACTCTTATCCAGTATTTGTTGGCTTCTCTCCCTAAAATATTTTCTCTAGTCTATGGCTGTGCCGGGGAACTCACTACGGATACTGCTTCTCGGTGCGTATTTTACGCTGACGGTCGGAGCAGACTGCGGGAAGGACTGCGCGCTCTGCCTCAACGCTCTACTGGAGCATCAGACGGCGATTACCACTCTGGTAGGTCAGGTACATTTGGACATGTTTTAAAGCATATATTTAAAGTAAAGTAACAGGGTGCTACTTTTTCCCGCGTCTAACTTTTTCGTGGGGAAAGAATTCGCAGTAGGCTACGCACCTGTGTTTTTGGTCACAAAAATACGCAATGGATAGGCAATGTTCCTTGAGGTGCGTGTATCCTTGGAACACGACTTTATTGAACTATTTTTCATTTATTTTGATGCAGGCAGACAATGTAATACCAATTAAATTAGGCAACCCATCATTTTTAATGCATCAATATAACATTAATTATTCGTGTCGGTTGGATTTTAATCAAGGCTACAACTTGTGTTGTTGGTCTAACTTGCGACAACATGAGACCTCAAGGCATTTCCTTTCGTCACGCTTCATGAAGTTTTGAATTTTGATGAGGATTTGGTTTCATTTATTACATATAGCCTGTAGTAAAACCAAGACTGTTGCGCATCATCAATTTCGCGGGACATTGTCACTTCGATTCTTGAAATGTAGGCTATTAAAGGCAATTTAGGAGTGTCTGAATCAATGTTAGATTAGCCATTCAATAGTACTGGCCTATCCCAAATGCTCAACATCGAACTAAAATCTAAAATCTTACCACAATGGCATGAATTCAGTATCTCCATCAAACCTGTCTTTATTTGTGGCCCTTATATGTTTTAGCTCCATCAGGGGGCAGCATGTTAGTCGTTATGGGCTTCAATACAGCCTCAATCATATTTTCATGTGATTCAAATACCCCCAATAAGATAAACATTTAATTTGAGAAGTTTATTTTCTCTTAGATAATGTATTCAGAATTATCTGTAGGCTATACAAAAGCACTGTTCTCTTCTGCTTTGACAGCTCAGACATAAAAATACACATTTACGAGGCATTAAATATGTAGGCTTTGAGGAACATCAGGCTTTGAGGGACCTCTTTGAGTAACAGGCTTTGAGGAACATCATGTCTCATTAACTGTGTTTCTAAAAAGCGGTAAAATGCACTAGATAAAAGTGTCTTTCCATCTGTTTCAATTTAATGACTCTTAAAACGAGTAGAGCATGAACATCACATTGGTATAGGCAAATATAATGAATTTGTTCATACATCCAACCGTGTCTCTCCGACAATGGAGAGAGTAGCAGCTGCACCCAGAGTATCTCATGCACCCGATTTTGACTTGGAGAGAGTAGCAGCCGCACCCAGAGTATCTCATGCACCCGAATTTGACTTGTTTGTATCCCCTGTTAAATATTGTCCAATTAAACAGTACTCTATACGTCAAATGTGCCTTTTTGTGGCAAGAAATATATCACTATGTCACTCCAGTGAATATATTGCTGCTTCACGTCTGTGTACCATGAGCCCCTTGATAGAGACAAGTCTCCAATTAAACTAGATTTCCAGTAAGAAATGGGTTTGTGAGCCTCTCATCCACCTCTGTGTTTTGAGGTTCCTCTTCCCTTCTTGTCTTTACAGACATGCTCAATAGAATGTGAGGGCAGCCTGGACACCACGAAGCTCCGGCTCTGCCGAGACATCCTATTGAAGGAGGAGCGTGTCGCAGTAGATGATGTCAAACAGGAAGAGGTGCAGGGCCAGCAGCACCAACTGGCCAAGAAGTATGGCGGCTTCATGAAACGCTACGGGGGGTTCATGATCAGGAGGAGCTCACCCGTAGAGGAGGGACGAGTGCAGGGAGGAGAGAACAGCCTGATGGCTGAGGAAGACGACATCCGTCTGGAGATCCTGAAGATTCTGAAAGCAGAGGCTGAGGGCCAGAGGGATGGGGAGGTGGCCAAGCGCTATGGGGGTTTCATGAGAAGAGGGGGGGACTTGGGGGGCCTGGAGGGGGCGGGCAGGCCACTGAAGAAGCGCTATGGGGGCTTCATGAGGAGGGTGGGGAGGCCTGAGTGGCAGGAGGATCAGAAGAACCAGGGGGGTCTCCTGAAACGCTCCTGGGAGGGGGAGCAGGGTGACTCCCCCCTGGCTGAAATACAGAAGAGATATGGAGGATTCATGGACTAGGGGTCGGCCCCTCCTCCAACCTCTCTTGAGTCTGGACTCTCAATATTGATTAGATTATCCATTCTTGTTCCGTTGTAGAGCTTCACTGTCCTGCTTTTTGTTTGATTGGGTTTACTGTGACAAAAAAAGAGTACTGTATGTTTTAGGGTTTTGGTTATTTATAAAATAACATGTGTTGGTTGTGGTGTACGAGGCTGGGGCATGTGTGGAAAACCAATCATGGCATGACCTGTCTGTTTTCTCTCCCTTTGTCTTGCCACTGTTTTTAAAGGGATAGTTCACTTTTTAAATATTAATTGATTTTCGACTTAAAAACTGTAATCCAAACCATTTTTAAGTTTGTTAGTTGGTTATTTAGTAGTCCAGACTCTCCTGGAGAGGTAAAATGAAAATAAGCTACAGCTTCAAAAAAGTGAATTATCCCTTTAAGTGGCTAGCGCTATAGAACATTTTCTGACGCTACCATTTCCCCCACAAAGCCTCAGAAAAGGATGTAACAATGGGGGAGTAGGCTATTGTGGCCTTCCCATTGGTGGTTTGGTCTTTGGAACTGAATGGCCTATCAATGTTATCTGCTTTGTTGTTGGAACATGAAGGTACCCTACTCTAAGTATTGCTATACCAGTGTGCTGTAGTTATCCATCTAATGGCAGTGTGTTGGTCGCTTTTCATTATTATTATAATAACCATGTTGCTCTTTCCACTGTGCTCACACTTATCCCAGTATGCTGATGTTGAAACATGTTGCTTTCAGTCTATAAATGGTCTAATTCTTTCTTCTTTCTATTGAGAACAGAGCAGCATTTCAGACCAATTAGTTGTACAAAACATAATAAACCCATGTGTCCTGCAGAAATAAGTGGACTCCACTCTGTCTTGTTCTGGCTGTTTGATGTGTTTGTCTGCTTGGGAAGTGGCGCTAATGTTCCTGCCTCACTCTGTCAAGCGCACCTGAGATAATAACTCTGGTGTTAATGGTGAGAGTTGTATTTATTTGACGCATTCACTGAGCTTCACTCAGCCCTATGTCTATATATTTTTGTACACATTGCACAAGTGAGCACAAAATATAACACTTTTTTGTCTCTTAGCTCCCCCAACTCTTCAGACTACCAAAACTTAACTGATTGATATTTTGCTTAACTTAATCCCCCCCCCCCCCAGAGGTTTAAATGAAGAATGCTCTTCCTCACAATAAGGCAGTATTTTAAATGACTCACAAGTTAGATCTACAAAAGAGGATAGATAGCCCTCTCTCACATTGACACATTGATTTATATCTTTCATTTCTCTAACTTCATTTCTCAATGTTAGTTATTTCCAAAGGCACCACCATATCTATATCCACAGCTGTTCACTTCCAAAATGTTGGTAGATACATTTGTATTTGTATTTATTAGGGATCCCCATTAGCACTTACATTACATATAAAACAAAATATAAAACAGTACATCATATAACATTATTACACCACTACATATCTACAATACAAAATGTAGAATACCACCATACAACAATATTAAAATGTATGCGTGTGTCTATACCTTTGTGTGTGTCTCTTCACAGTCCCTGCGTTTCCTTAAGGTGTATTTTTACATGTTTTTAAATCTGATTATACTGCTTGCATCAGTTACCTGATGTGGAATAGAGTTCCATACAGTCATGGCTCTATGTAGTACTGTGCGCCTCCCATAGTCTGTTCTGGACTTGGGGACTGTGAAGAGACCTCTGGTGGCATGTCTTGTGGGGTACGCAAGGGTGTCCATGCTGTGTACTAGTAGTTTAAACAGACAGCTCGGTATATTCAGCTTGTCAACACTTCTTACAAAAACAAGTAGTGATGACGTCAATCTCTCTTCCACTTTGAGCCATGAGAGATTGACATGCATATCATTAATGTTAGCTCTCTGTGTACTTTTAAGGGCCAGCCGTGCTGCCCTTTTCTGAGCCAACTGCAATTTTCCTAAGTCCCTCTTTGTGGCACCTGACCACACTACTGAACAGCAGTCTAGGTGCGACAAAACTAGGGCCTGTAGGACCTGCCTTGTTGATAGTGTTGTTAAGAAGGCAGAGCAGCATTTTATTATGGACAGATTTCTCCCCATCTTAGCTACTGTTGTTTACAATCCAGGGTTACTCCAAGCAGTTTAGTCACCTCAACTTGCTAAATTTTCATATTATTCATTACGAGATGTAGTTGAGGTTTAGGGTTTAGTGAATGATTTGTCCCAAATACAATGCTTTTAGTTTTGGAAATATTTAGGACTAACTTATTCCTTGCCACCCATTCTGAAACTAACTGCAGCTCTTTGTTAAGTGTTGCAGTCATTTCAGTTGCTGTAGTAGCTGATGTGTGTAATGTTGAGTCATCTGCATACATAGACACACTGGCTTTACTCAAAGCCAGTGGCATGTAATTAGTAAAGACTGAAAAAACTAAGGGGCCTAAACAGCTACCCTGGGGAATTCCTGATTCTACCTGGATTATGTTGGAGAGGCTTCCATTAAAGAACACCCTCTGTGTTCTGTTAGACAAGTAACTCTTTATCCACAATATAGCAAGGGGTTGTAAAGCCATAACACATACGTTTTTCCAGCAGCAGACTATGATTGATAATGTCAAAAGCCGCACTGAAGTCTTACAAAACAGCCCCCACAATCTTTTTATTATCAATTTCTCTCAGCCAATCATCAGTCATTTGTGTAAGTGCTGTGCTTGTTGAATGTCCTTCCCTATAAGCGTGCTGAAAGTCTGTTGTCAATTTGTTTACTGTAAAATAGCATTATATCTGGTCAAACACAATTTTTTCCAGAAGTTTACTAAGGGTTGGTAACAGGCTGATTGGTTGGCTATTTGAGCCAGTAAAGGGGGCTTTACTGTTCTTGGATAGCGGAATGACTTTTGCTTCCCTCCAGGCCTGAGGGCACACAGTTTCTAGTAGGCTTAAATTGAAGATATGGCAAATAGGAGTGGTAATATCGTCCGCTATTATCCTCAGTAATTTTCCATCTAGATTGTCAGACCCCGGTGGCTTGTCATTGTTGATAGACAACAATACTTTTTTCACCTCTTCCACACTCACTTTACGGAATTCAAAAGTACAATGCTTGTCTTTCATAATTTGGTCAGATAAACTTGGATGTGTAGTGTCAGCATTTGTTGCTGGCATGTCATGCCTAAGTTTGCTAATCTTGCCAATTAAAAAGTCATTAAAGTGTAATACATAATGTAAGGGATAAACGCTGACGTTTTGTACATTACCTTGGAAATAATGGACGACGCAGTCCGTTGAGTCCCTTCGTGCAGTTAATTTTTCCAAGGTCATAGAGTACCACAGTATGAGTCATAATACCCATAAAACCTAGCGGTCAAACAGGGAAATGGTTCCAATCGTTTTTCCACCATTCATTTTTCCCATAGGGGATTGTAGAAAAACTTAAAATAAGGACTGTGTTTTGTGTTGGTTTACCCTGGCGTGACGTTTTGATAACCATGTCAATCTCTCTAGGACAAGGTGACTTTTATCAATATATTCGCCTGTATTTACACCCAAAAATGAAATGCTAATTAGCTGCTAATTTGGCTATCATAAAAACTACAAATGATGATCTGGACAAGACTGCCGAATCGAGGCAAAGGTAAGAATCTCTAATGTTAGCTAAATGTAGTAATTAATACATTGGATAAATGTCTTTAAATGGACAGTTCTGTGAACTGTCTCGTGCAATTTTTAAATTGACACAATACCTGTTAGCAAAGGTGTCAGCTAGAGATGACTTGCAGGAGCTTGCAGGGATTTGTAGTTTTGCATGATGCCTACTTTGATGCTAATTAGCATTTTCGAATCTGAGAGTAAATAGAGCTGAATATATTGACAAGTCACCTTGTCCGAAAGAGATTTACACGGTTACTTATTTTAAGTGTTTCTAAAATTCCCTATGGGAAAAATGAATGGTGTAAAAAAGATTTTGTCCCTACGTTATATCGGCATCGAACATCTCTCCCTAGGAGAGGGGGTGACCAAGAAAACTTATTTTTAAAACAAGAGGCTGCCTGGATCTTTCATTTAAAGACCCTTGCTCCCTTCGGTCTCAACGTAGACTGATTTGAAGCCATTCTTGTGATTATTGTGATTTTGCTATTCATTGTAAATGTTTGTAGGCCTATGTTGCCAAATTGTATCTATGATCGTATGTTATCCATTCATGTTTTTTGTATGTTCTGTTTATATCTGTGAATTAACCAATGATATCAGGCCACACCCGGCCATGCTTAAAGACACCTGTGTGTGTCCTTTGACATAAACTAGTGACACGCAGTGTTTGTAATTATTCCCTGATGAAGACAGCTTGTCTGTCGAAACGTTGGTTATCAGGTTATTAAATTATTGCATCTGAGCTCCTAGAGTGTGCGCCTTTCCTTTTCTTTTTCAAGTAAAAATGATTGGAACCATTTCCCTGTTTGACCGCTAGGTTTTATGGGTATTATGACACCTCCACTATGGGGCTCTATGTACAGAACATCAGTGTTTATCCCGCAGTTGCCAAAGAAAACAATATGAAAGCACACATTTACCGGTCGTAAAACCTTTATTCCGTTGCGTTTGTTTAAACTGTTTATCCCGCTTATACCCACAGTTGCCTGAGAAAACAATACTAAGCACACACTTACCGGTAGAAATAACATTTTGTCGTTGATATTTTCATATATATAGCAAATTCATATTTTCTCATCTTTTGGTTGCTAGAGATGCGACCCAGTCGTTCGTACGATTAGCTCAATATTTATGGACGCGACCCAGTCGTGCGTTCTTTTGTTCCGTTGCCATGTTCGCTGGCAACGTTCTTATCCCTTGCTTGTTAGCTAGCCAGCTAGCTACAGCTAACAGTCACGACCTCTGCAACCAGAATATACCACAGCATTGTTGAATACTCCTTTCTGATTGGCTTGAAGGGCATTCTAGAGCGTGTATTATTTCCATATAACGCATGGTATATTT